TGGGGTGCGACATCTCTATTTATATAACAACTCGAAAGACGGGGCGCCAATGCTGGAATGATAGTTGTTGTTGTACGCGAACTCTGCAAGCGGTAGGTGGGAATCCCAACTCCCACAGAAGTCAATGGCACACGCCCTCAGCATATACTCGAGGGTCTGAATGGTACGCTCGCTCTGACCATCTGTTTACGGATGGAATGTTGTGCTAAAGTGCAACCGTGTTCCCAGCTCCTCGTGGAACTTCTGCCGACAACTTGGTCAAGAAATGGGCACTCTTGGTCAATCGATCCACGATGACCCAGATGGCATCAAACCCCTTTGTCGTTATCGGCAACTTGGTACTAAAATCCATCGTGATCTATTCCTAATTTCACATGGGAATCTCCAAGGGTTGCAGCTTGTCGTGCTGCCTCTGATGCTCGGCCTTGACCATCTAACAGGTCAAGCACCTCTCGACGTACCAAGCGATTTCTCGCTTCATGCACGGCCACCAGTAGCTCAAACTCAAATCCCGGTACATCTTGGTGGCCCCGGGTGAATAGAGAAGTGAGACTTATGAGCCTCCTCCATAACCGTCTGCCTGACCCCACCAGACATCGAAACCTACACCCGACTACGTCGGGTTAATAATCCCTGACTATCTCTGATCAAACTCACAAGCAAGGAATCCATTGTTATCCTCATAGATATCGCTGGGGCGGAAGTCCCAATTGACTTGCGACTCAGAGCGTCCGCCACCACATTCGCTTTACCGGGGTGGTAAGTGATCTCTCAATCATAGTCCTTGACTACATCCAGCCACTTGCGCTGCATAGAATCCACTGCTATCCACATTAATTTGTCACATGATTGTTCATGATCATTAAATAATTAGATCTAGGATTAATCACATCTTATATAAAGTTATTAAAACTAGTAGCTTTAACTATGTTAGCGAGCATAATTAATCTTAATTTGTGCTTGATTATTTAACTTGATCATAGGAAAGTAACTACTATAATTCATAGTCCATTTTGTGTTCATTCTCGATTTGGTGTTTAACTTTATTTTTGATCATTGCATGGTAATTTATAAATTGATAAGTCTAGATATTTGATCATAATAGCTAGCTAACGAATCGGTAATCAATATATTCTATCTAGTAGAAATCAACCATATGAGAAGGTGAAATCGGATCTAAGTACTTTTTAAATATCGAAGTAACTTTATTTTCTTTGTTTGTTAAATTGTTTAGTTAATAGTTATTTGAATTAAGTTCTTACGATGTTTGAAAATCAGTAAACCCCCCCCCCCCCCCCCCCACACACACACACACTTTAAGTTTGTCTCTTAGTTTAATTAGAAGTAGTTATATTAAGTAATTGAATTTCGTTCCTTGTGTTCGACATCCGAATTATCCAAACTATTCTATAATCTGACTAGGTACACTGCCTATAGGTGCATAATTTAGTTAAATTAGTGAGGTTATAAATTTAAAACAAGTAGGTACTTTTGTGCACATCAAGAACATCATCTTCAATAAAGTTTACTCCATGTATTATAGGAATTTAAAATACAAAAATTAAAAGTAGTTTTTATCTACATCGATAGCATAGCTCTTGTCTCATATATATATATATATATATATATATATATATATATATATATATATATATATATATACACACACACACACACAACTTTATGTCATTATTTGTCAATGAATATATAAACAACCAAACATTAATATTCACACTAAAATTTATTAAATTACTATACATATATGAATTTTATAGTAGAATAATAACATAAAAATGAATGTATGCAAACTTATAAGTTAATATTCACATTATAATTACTATTATACTACACATATTAAATTAATAGCAGAATAATAACAAAAAAGTAGTGCTCTCACGTTTTCACTTTATTTATTATTCTTATTTGAACTTCACTCTATGTGTGTGTGTGTTTGTGTGTGTTTATATATATATATATATATATATATATATATATATATATATATATATATATATATATATATATGCTATCAAAAATGGCTCCCAACATGTTGTGACAAATTTAAATGCTTATAAATGGTCATAAATATCGTTTTAAAAAAATTTAAGTGAATCTATTAAGATTACAAACATTATGATCGATTACCTCAATAAAAATGAAAATTGACTTATTAGGGTAATTACATTTAGTTTTGTTTAATGTTTATACTAGTTTATAACCCGTGGGAACTACGGTTTTAAAATTAATCAAACCTTTATAGTAAAAACTAAAAATTATTAATAAGTTATTTAAATAAATTATTAATTTAAGAGATATTTTTTATTAGTTATGTGAAATTATAATCATTGATTCAAATAAATATATAAAATAATTTTTAATATAAATTAGATATTTTTTTTTGTAAATTAATGAAAACAATAATTTAAAATTTAAAATAGAATTACATTAATGAGGAGGTCTAATAAATTTAAAATGAAAAACTAATAGATTGACAAGTGGCAATACATTAATTAAAATATCTAATATGATGACACATGGCAAAAGAGCTACTCTTTTATTAGTATAAAAATTTAGGTAATTTCTTTTTTTACACATCTAGGTAACGAACTTAGTGAAAATGTTCTCATATAACCATTATGATCGAATGTAACATGTTACTACAGGTCATAATTGTCATTTATAAACAATTATAATATTTTTGTTTTATATATATATATATATATATATATATATATATATATATATATATATATATATATATATATATATATATATAGAGAGAGAGAGAGAGAGAGAGAGAGATGATGGTTCAAATGAGAAAAAAAGGTTGAGAATAGGAGAACCATTCTCAGCCAATCATTTAATAATCTTAAAAAATGTACGGTGGCAAACTTGTAAATAATCCAAATACATTAATGAGCGGTGGCAAATTTGTAAATAATCCAAAAACATTAAACCGTCAGGGCACTTGAGTAATTTGATATCACGTCAAATATCGACAGAAAAGCACCATTTCCCTCTTCGATACACCATAACACGAAAACCATTTGCAGAGGAATCGATAAGACGAAAACCATTTGCAGAAGCATCAAATAACATAAACGAAGAAAAATGTCCTCCGATGAAAAGATGAACGAGTCCATTTCCTCACTCTTGACAATGAAAGGTTACCATCGGCGTTTTTTCTCGAGTTTTTAACGATTTCGAATCATCTCTAAAATTATCACTTGATTACTTGAAATTTCTCGTAATCTTCGAAAATTATTAGTTGATTTAGAAATAAAAACATTGTTTTCACACTGTTCATTCTTCAAAAAAAGTTGTTTACTTCAATTTTACTTGAAATTTATAATACTCGTTCATTCTTGTAACCCTCCTTCGTTATTACTTTATTTAATTGAAATTTTTGTAAGAATCATCCATTATTATTTGATATATAAATGATTTTACATCATCTGTTCATTTTTCATCTTTATTCAAAACTATTCTGTCAAAATACAAAGGTTACTTAACATTTCGCTTATGTTTTCCTAATATTAACTACTTACCCTTACAGAAACAACACCAACAGCGAAGAATACATATAAACGAAAACCAAGAACAAATCAAAAAGGTAAATAAAATATATTTTGTTTACTTCTGAACACAAGCAAAACTAATATTCATTCGTGAATATGTATGTTATATTCACATATGAATAGAAGATAGCTTGCTGCCATACATACATTATTCAAATGTGAATACAACAAGAATGACTTACATATGTTCTATTCACATATGAATATAAAAAAACATATTCATATGTGAATAAAAAAATATGAATACATATGTTTTATTCAAATATTCATTCGTGAATATGTATGTTAAATTCACATATGAATAGAAGATATCTTGCTGCCATACATACATTATTCAAATGTGAATACAACAAGAATGACTTACATATGTTCTATTCACATATGAATATAACAAAACATATTCATATGTGAATAAAAATATATGAATACATATGTTTTATTCAAATATTCATTCGTGAATATGTATGTTATATTCACATATGAATTAGAAGATAGCTTGTTGTCATACATACATTATTCAAATGTGAATACAACAAGAATGAATTACATATGTTCTATTCACGTATGGATATAACAAAACATATTCATATGTGAATAAAAAAAATATGAATACATATGTTTCATTCAAATATTCATTCCCGAATATGTATGTTATATTCATATATGAATAGAAGATAGCTTGCTGCCATACATACATTATTCAAATGTGAATACAACAAGAATGACTTACATATGTTCTATTCACATATGAATATAACAAAACATATTCATATGTGAATAAAAATATATGAATACATATGTTTTATTCAAATAGTCGTTCCTGAATATCAAACTCATTTACCTTCTACTTACTATTGAATGAAGGTAAGAACACTAACATTTCCGATAAAGAATCACCAACAATCAGAGAAACAAGATCAATGCAAAAGAGGAAAAATGCGAAAGGTACAAAATTCCTATCATATCTAATATATTCATATATGAATAAAATTGTATATATTATTTATATTTTTGTAATAAATAAATATTAATAAATCAACGAGCATATATCATATTCATATATCAGTAACTTATTCAAATATTATATGTTTTCATTTCCCAGATAAAAAAGAAACAAAAATACCAAAGAAAATAAAGCATCAAAGCAGAAAAAGTCCATCAAAAAGGAAAACTCCTGAAAAACAACAACTACAAGAAAAAAAAAAAAAAAAAAAAACAATGGTAAAGGAATTTTATTCAATGAAAATAGATGTTCACCAGAGGCATTACTATCTATAATCCTTGGGATGAGCAAAGAACAAAAAGAATCTGTAAGATCTATGGGGTTTGAAGCTTTGTTAAAAATAAAAATCACAGATATACCACTGAATTGAAGCTAGGATTTTTTGTTCTTCAAAAATTTGGTTATGAGAGAATGGTGATAGATATTGAAGGAAAGGAACTGAAAGTAACAATAGAGTCTGTTCATGACATGTTGGGCATACCAATTGGTGGAACCAAACTTACAGAACCGGATCAATGGCCTAAGGATGATACAAGTTATGATGAATGGAAGCAACAATTTAAAAAAGATTCAATCATCCGACTAAGTGCAATAAAAAAATGTTATTGTTTCTACCACACAAGTTGATTTCAATTTCAAATTGAACTTCTTAGTTCTTTTTGTCAACACGTTTTGCGAGTCAACATCAATGGGAAGATGTATACGGTTTCCCTTGAGTTGTATTTCAAGAAGAACAGATATCAGCAACATAGACTGGTACAGCTATGTTTTGGACTGTCTTGTCAGAACAAAAAAACTCATGCATACCATACTCAGATACCAGCTTCTTTGTTGGACCTTCAGCTTTCTTGGTGGTAAGTTATTTTAATGTTTATACTCAATTTTTAATAATATTGATTATTCATAAACTAATAGCAAATATTCATATATGAATAAGAAAAATATATTTGTTCACAAGTAATGCTTTACATTACTTATTCATATATGAATAAGTCATTACTTATTCATATATGAATAAGTCATGACTTATTCATATATGAATAAGTAAAAAAAATAATATTACTTGTTCATATATGAATATCAAATAGTTATCATTCATGTGCAGTTGTTCTATGCTAATAACATCCAATCAGAAGCTTTGACAGTAACACGTAAACGTCCAACAATTTGTTATTGTAGTTCAGAGAAGATTAGATATCGAGAGGCATTTGAACAAGAAAAAGGTAGATTTGGACTTGGAGAAATAAATGAAGAATTTGTTGACGAACAAGATGAAGGAGATACAGATCTCAAAGACAATGATTATGATAAAGATGAAGATCATTATGTTGAGGTAATTAGTTTGAACATGTTAATAATATATGATTACATTAAATTATTATATTAAATTCTAATCATATACTTCTTTTTGTTATATAGGCATATGAATCAAAAATATCAAAAATGACTAATAGTTTTGAGAGGTTGAAGGAAAAACTAAATTCAAAGCTTTATGATGCGATGATAAAGTTCCCTGAAAAGGAAAGCTTTAGAATTTTCAAGGAAAAGATCACAAATATGATTGTTGAAGAAAAAACTGAAAGCACAACACTTTTTAATTTTCCAAGTAATGAAACTGGAGTTGAAGGAATCAATTTGACACCAATAATGGGTCAAAAAACAAATGATAAAAAAGAAAATGAAGATAAGGAGGGAAATGGAGAAGAAGGCAATGATAATGATGCAAGTCAACTAGAAGTAGATTATTTACTTGATTCAAATGAACCAGAGAATGAAGCAATAAAGAATGATGCAGATAAGAATAAAAAAGAAGGTGAAATTGGAGTAAAAGAGAAAGATGGAAAGAGGAATGAAAATGAGAATGATGAAGAGGAAAAAGATGATCATGCTAAGGAAACAAATAATCATGAGGAGACTATTCAACAAACTGAACATGAAATTTTTTTGGATAAAGTTGTTGACAACATTATGGGCAATGTCCTTGGAATTGGAATTTCAAGTTTAAATAGTCAAGAAGATGAATTCTGGAATCACCCTGAAATGAAAACTATTTTCGATAATATTGATATAGGTAAATTTTGTTTTACTTTTATTTTAAATATATATATATATATATATATATATATATATATATATATATATATATATATATATATATATATATATTAATACACAATAACAATTTTGTTTGTTAAATTTTGACCAATGTCACCAATGAGTACAGGTAAAATTAATACTCTTGCAGAAAAGGAAAAATCAGAAGGTGTACATGAACAAGGAACAAAAGTTGAAAAAACAAAAGGAGATGATACAGGTAAATGAATGACTTAAAATATATTACAATATTCATATTGATTTTTTTAATAACATTGTTTATTCATAAGTGAATAATACACTATATAAATGAATAAAAAATAAAAAATATTCATATATGATGTATATGTTTTAGGCAAGGAAAACTCTGAAGATAGAAATGAAGGAGGAATAGAAGCTAAGAACACGAAATATGGAGGTGAAGAAAAACATACAGAAACTGAGAAAGGAAATGCAGAAGATAAAGGTAAATAGTTGAATCACTAATAAATTAATATAATAAGTTTTATTATTCACAAATAAATAACACAATATAAAAAAAATATTTCTTATTCATAAATAATGATATGCATTACTTATTCATAAATGAATACATTACTTATTCACGTATGAATTACTTAATCACAGTTCTTTATCTTTCAGGAAAGAAAAAGTCAGAAAATGAAAACAAGAAATGAGAAAAAGTTGACAAGACAAAAGGAACTAAAGGAGGTAACAATTTGGATAAACATTTCAAAATATAAACTTAAATATTATAATTAACTTACAACTATTTATATGATAAATCTTCTGGCATGCAGATACTCATCCAAGCTTTAGTCTAGGTCTCAGTCAAGATTCAGATCAAACTTTAAGTAAAAAATCTAATGAATCTTCACCAAATAAACCACTTATAAAGAAACAAATCAAAGATGACCATCATAAGGTTGTTATCAGATTAGCAAAGAAAAATGTTTTTAATCCAAATCCAATCTCTGTATCAATTCCTACTGAAGTAGGACCATCAAAGCATGGTCTGGATCAACCAAGAGAGAAGAAGCTTGCTGATGCTTTCAAATCACCTTTCAAATGCAGAATAACAGACACAAAACCCAAACTGACACATCGAGAGAGTATTGTCAGTGAATGGTTGTTCAACTTACAAGGCAATACATCATAAGTAACTTTATTTTATATACATTCATATATGATTATTATATAGATAATAATCTATGACATTTTGATTATATATTTGCAGAGATGTGGTTTTCTAGACAAAATATGGTCAGATAACAGAAAGAGCAATTATGGAAAGTCTATATGCAAACACATATATTTTTGGAGAAGTTTTAACCATACAAACTCTTCTTGAAAGTTGGAGTTTGTGTAAGTTTATGTTCTAAACTTAATTCTTTCCTTATTCATAAATGAATACACCAATATGATGTATTCATTTATGAATATTATATTTTTTTACAGCTGAAATTCACATATGATTATACAAATATGATGTATTTTTCTAACATAATTATATATATTCAACTGAAATTCCCATATGATTATATTGGTTACAGATTGCTTATCTAACTTCAACATTGTCTGATAAAAGAAAATATAAAAAATTCAAGGAGAACTTTCATGAGAGTACCAATGGGTACAAAAAAATATTGAACATAAAAGATATTTACATGGTATGTTAATTAAAGTTGTTTTATATATATATATATATATATATATATATATATACTTTATCAACAAAATACTTACCATTATATACATAAAAACATGTATTCTTTCCAGTTGTTAGAAGTGCTCACATTTTTGTGATTGTCTTCAATTAAAAAAAAAACCGTCAATTGAAATTCTAGACAATAGTGCAGTTGAGGGGGATTATGAAGGAAAATACGGAGTAATATTGAAACCTTTGGTATGTACCCAGTTCACAACAACATAAAATAACCAATTTATTACATATCTAACTTTTATTTTATTTAATTATCTATAAAATTTCTTTGTGAGATAATTTAAAGAAATAAACCATCCAAGAGCAAATGCAATCTCAAAAGAAAGTATCAAACCCTAACAACTTGAAATGTCATGGAGAACAGTTAAAAACAAAGTTGATTGTGGGGTCATTGCAATGAGACATATGGAGACCTATATGGGACAACCACTCTCAAACTACTTTAGAGAAGCTCAGGCAAAGATATGCACACATAATGCTAACTTATGAAATTAACATGTTGAAGGCTAAGGTGTTGGATCTTGTTGAAAAATATCAAAAAGGTGAATTCAAAGTGTGTACTGATCATGCATACAAGGCTATGAAAACAATTCAAAAAAGGTTAAAAGAATATTGATGATTGCTTGTGAAGATGAAAGAATGTTGAAGTGTGATGCTATAAAATAGTTTGTGTTGAAGATGAATGGATTTGAAGTACATGTAAGATGATTATGCGAAACAAGTTTTAAAAGGTTCGTTAAATGTTGTTGAACATCATTTTAATATTTTGTGAAATGCTTATGAACAGCTTTTATTATCTTGTGTTGAATGATTATGTAATAGAAACAACTTTGCTTATTTCTGTTAGTTTTTTATATTTAAATATTTTCAAAGTTTATTTATATTTATTCATAAATAAATACGAATATGATATATTCATTTATGATTAAATTAGGAGTAATATGTCAGCATAACAAAGTTCATATATAAATATAACAAATTTCATATATGAATATAACTAACTTATTAGTAGAAACAAGTTTGCTTATTTATGTTATTTTTTTATATTCAAATATTTTCAAACTTTATTTTTATTTATTCATAAATGAATACGAATATGATATATTCATTTATGAATAAGTTCAAATTAATATGTTAGTATAACAAAGTTCAGATATTAACATAAAAAAAGTTCAAATATGAATATACTTATTTATTAGTATAACAAATTTCACATATTTGTATTCATTTATGAATAATTTACAATATCAATATAACTTATTTTATAGTAATTTAAAAACACATATCAACATATCAATTTACCATATCAATATAAATGTGTATTATTCATACATGAATATTATTGTTTATTGTTTTTATCTGCATATATTCATAATGAATTAAACCAAAAAACATAAAAATAAAATAAAAAAACTAAAAAATCCCTAACTGTCTTTTGCTGATTTAGAAGCTCCGACTCTTTCTGGACAAGTACGTAAATTGTGTGGAACTCGTTTTCCACATCCTGAACACATTCTATGTTCTTTTTTAGAATTTTCATATGCTACTTCACCTGCAGTTGAAATTCTTTTCTTGATTCCAGAACCTTTATTGATTTGAACTTTAGGAACATGAATATTAATCTCTTCTGGAATAGGAATAGTAACACCCAAAAGCTTGCAGACAACTTCACCATCTGTCTTGCTTTTCAATCCAGGAGAAATATAATCACTCTCAAATTCCTTCAACAACATTTGTTGCTTCTCAGCAAACAAAGTCAATCTCTTTTAGTCCTCTCTTACAATATCCAAACATGATTCAAAACTATAATATGAATCATTGACTAGCTTTACATTCTCACAATCACCTGAATCGGATTGAACAGAACTAAAACGATAATTTCTTGATATCACATCCTTTCTCCATCTCTTCAAAATGTACATTGTAGGGATTTCTTTAACACCACATCTCATCATTATTGTAAAAGCATGTCTGCATAAAACACCCATACGCTTAAAATGTTCACAACTGCAATTTATTTCTTTCTCTTCAGCTTTTATTCCAACCTGATACAAAAACAAAATTCACACATTTACATTCATATATGAATACTCATATCAACACTCATATATTCATATATCCATATAATATTCATATATTCATATATGAATATTCTTATATTCATATATGAATATTCTCATATTCATATATGAATATTATTACATTTTTCATAAAAAAAAAACTAGTAAAATTACATTATATTCATTTTTAAAATCATTTTTACTGTTATTGTGCTGCACAATGTAAACTTCTCAACCATCTATAATACCAACATATGAGTATGTACAGAAAAAACATGCTTTATATATTTCTTTTTGCACCTCAAAAAATAATGTACTTGTATAAACCTTTGATGCTTGCAGTTCTATTTCTCGAGGTGTTTGCATTTTATATGATGCTTTCTTTGATGCCTTATCAAGATCTCGTTGAGTATTCCTTTGTTTTTGAATGGCAGTGTCGTAATTCATCATGAAACTCAAAAGTAAGTTCCCACTTTCTGAGTATGTATTAAAAAATGAATTCATACTCTCTGACCTCGATATAGTCTTCATCAAACCATACATTGGAATATCACTAAAATATCCAGGTATCAATGAATCACGTATTCTAAACATGTCTTTAAACCATCTTGTGTCTTCAAGATAGAATTCCTTCATAAGCAAACCCCACTTCACCTCAAAAACATCAGGTTTCATATTAATGTCCCAAACAAGCTTTAAAAACCTTTTTCTAAAGTCTGTGTTAGTAAATAAATCATCTGATATATGTATTAAAACAAAAATATTCATAAATGAATAAATAATAATAAGTAAAATAGCGATCAATATTCATAAATGAATATACCAATAAGTAATATATTTGAAATATATTAAAATATTACATTTTTTCAACTTTTTCATTATATGCTACATACATAATCAGTGCTTTGAATTACGAAACACATTCTCAACAGCTTGTTTTATTGCAACATCTTGATCGGTTAAAACAAGTGTTGGTTCTTTCCCATGAGTTTTAAGAAATGCTTTAAGCAACCAAGAGTAAGACTCAATTCTTTCATTGCTTAGCAACCCAGATCCAACAATAATTGATTTTTTATGATGGTCAATAGCAGTAAAAGGAACAAAAACCATTCGATACCTAACACACAAAAAAAATGTTCATTAAAGTTAATTTTTGATGTATTAATAAGTGAATATAAAACTATTTATATATGAATAAGCTATAAACAAAAGTAGATAAAATAACTTACTTGTTTGTTCGGAAAGTCGCATCAAACAAGATACATCACCAAATTCAGCAGCTCTTGAATTTTTGCTTGACAACCATTAGCTCTTGAATTTGAATTTCGTTTCCTCCTAACACCACTTGTACCTAATGTGTCACAAGATTTCTTTTTTTGTTTACCACCACGATTACATATAAAATGTTTCTTCTTTATAATCTTGTTATCAAACCTTGACTGTGTGCTCAGTCTAACATCAAAACCACCAATTTCAGCATACTCAGAATACATTTTGATACCCAACTTTAATGATTTGAAGATTAAACCCTTAAATGAAATAAGTTGAACATGTACATCTGGCTTATGGACATGTTCTCCAATTATATCATCACAATATTGTGCATCATGTACTGAACTTGAAGATTCACCACCTAAAATAATAATGCAGGAATAAAACAATAACATATATGAATACATAAAACTCATATAAATAAAACAAAAAACATTCATATATGAATAAAAACATTCATATATGAATACATAAAATTCATGAGGATTCAAAATATATAAAATAAAACATAACTTATTCATATATGAATAAAACGAAAAAAATAATAAATTTTAAATTACAATTATCACACGTTTATTCATATATGAATAAGATAACAATATATTCATATTAACATATTCATATGTAAATAAATGATAATCAACAAAATTAAAAACAACAAAATAATTCAATAACTGATACCTTCAAAAAATGAGTTCTCAACATCTTCTTCTTCACTCTCACTCATAGAAGAATACAAATCACCATCAATAACACTAGAATTCGACATAATACACCAAATGATCTATATAAATAAACAAAAACAATCTTAATGTCGAATATATCCCACAAAAAAACTCGTAAAGATGAAAACCTGGTTAATTTCGAATATATCTCACCTCAACGTACAAAATATCTGAAAGAAACTTAAATCATATATGATCAGATGATGTAATTAAGCAATCTCTCTCGGTATAGAGCGTAAAAACTACAACGATATATCCAATTAAACATTAAATCAGCTCCGATTCGAAATAAATATCTCAAACTACTTAACAAAAATCCGATGAAATAACTCCAATACATATTCGAAACTTGATAATCTTGATAATAAACTCCGATTAAACAACTCCACAACGAAGATAATAAGCGTAATTCCAAACAAATTATAAAAAGCAATAATCTTGATAATGAACTTCGATATATCCGATTCAAACGATATATATACCTGATCAAATCGGAAACTGAAGACGAAGTAGAAAACTGAAACACAGATGCAAAACTTCATGATTAATGGAATGAATACGTATAATTGCTAATGAGTTATATAAAAAAAAATAATCTTGATAATGAATTCCTCATATCCGATTCAAATGAGATAAAGATATCATCAAATTGGAAACTGATAACAACAAACAAGTAAGTTCTATGTAAAAAAAATGCTAATTTACAAAGATACCCTTAATGAAAATGGACACGCGTAGGGTTGTAAACGAACTGAACGTTCGACGAACCGTTCGTGAACTGTTCGGCGGGAAGTTCGTTTATGTTCGTTTATTTAATAAATGAACGAACATGAACAAAAATTATCGTTCGTTTAGTTAATTTCGAATATATCTCACCTCAACGTACAAAATATCTGAAAGAAACTTAAATCATATATGATCAGATGATGTAATTAAGCAATCTCTCTCGGTATAGAGCGTAAAAACTACAACGATATATCCAATTAAACATTAAATCAGCTCCGATTCGAAATAAATATCTCAAACTACTTAACAAAAATCCGATGAAATAACTCCAATACATATTCGAAACTTGATAATCTTGATAATAAACTCCGATTAAACAACTCCACAACGAAGATAATAAGCGTAATTCCAAACAAATTATAAAAAGCAATAATCTTGATAATGAACTTCGATATATCCGATTCAAACGATATATATACCTGATCAAATCGGAAACTGAAGACGAAGTAGAAAACTGAAACACAGATGCAAAACTTCATGATTAATGGAATGAATACGTATAATTGCTAATGAGTTATATAAAAAAAATAATCTTGATAATGAATTCCTCATATCCGATTCAAAGGAGATAAAGATATCATCAAATTGGAAACTGATAACAATAAACAAGTAAGTTCTATGTAAAAAAATTGCTAATTTACAAAGATACCCTTAATGAAAATGGACACGCGTAGGGTTGTAAACGAACTGAACGTTCGACGAACCGTTCGTGAACTGTTCGGCGGGAAGTTCGTTTATGTTCGTTTATTTAATAAATGAACGAACATGAACAAAAATTATCGTTCGTTTAGTTAAACGAACGAACATGAACAATGGTCTCGTTCGTTCATTTATGTTCGTGAACGTTCGTTTATGATGTTTGTTTACGTTCGTTTATGTTCATTCGTTTAAGTTTATTTATATTCATCTATATTCAAATAATTTTCATTATATTGCTACATTATATTTTCGTTTATGTTCATATATGTTCAATTGTTTTTTTTATCTTTGTTCGTTTATGTTTGTTTGTTTATGTTCGTTTAGCATGTTCACGAACATAAATGAACGAACATGAACAAAGTAATTTGTTAAACGAACTAACATGAACAAGAAAATCTTGTTCGTTTATCCGTTCGTATTCGTTTGTTGTTCGGCTAACGTAAACGAACGAACATGAACAAGACCTTGTTCGTGTTCGTTTGGTTCGTTTACAACCCTAGACACGCGCATTTTTTTTCAATTTGAACATGTTAGATAAATGATTGGCTGAGAATGATTCCACAATTCTCAACTTTTTTTTCTCAATTTAACTTACCTATATATACATATATATATATATATATATATATATATATATATATATATATATATATATACACACACCTTAAAAAACATTTACCACATTTTGCTGAATTTTAAAAGGTACAAACCATAATGCTATTTGTACAATGAATTTATACATTAAGAAAACTCTTAATCTTATTCGATCAATTACTGAATTACACACGTTTTGAATAAGTCTCCGCTCTTATCTTCAAATTAAATTGGTCAATAGATCAAAGATGAACCAATATTCCTCAAGTTCTGCCAATTGAACCGGTCAAGTGAAATACTTTATAAAGCCTATATCCATCGCAATAAAAGAACCAGGAGGCCTGATTGGGTTGTACGTGGCTTCGTTCTCTTATTTACAAATCTGACATTTTTATGTTTGTTTGTTGTGTATATTCAAGAAACAGAAAATTCCATTTTCATCCACAGTCCATCTCTTCAAGTTCGATCTATCTCTCTCATCATAAGAAACCCTAATCGATTCAAACCACTGTATGTCTATTCTTATTTAGTTCCTTTGGATTCCCATAAACTCTATGGGGGAATGCTTATTTATTTTTTCTGATTTTATTTTGTTTTGTATGTTATATATGTTCACAATCTCGGTTTTGAAAGTTAAGGCTTCTGATGATGCTAAGGTTTAATGATAACAATTTTCAATTTTGTCACCCATCAATCTCACACCACCCTAATTGATTATCTCTGTGTGGGTGTGGGACTGTGTGCAATTCTCCCTAAACTATCGAATCAGGAACACACATATACATCGAGCATATATCTCTCTCTTTCTCTCTCCGATTACTCACTTTTTATTGGTCGGAGAATTGCAAGGGGAGGTTCACAGAGGTCGTCTCGGTGGTGTAAGCAGGTTGTAATGGGTTGTGGTTGATGGTGATTAAGGTGGGTTGTGATGGTGGTGGTATAAGGTGGTTTTGACAACAATGATGGCACCACCACTATTCCGAAAATCAGGAATCCACAATATAATCGATTGTTTATCCCAAAAAATAAGGAGGTAGTGAATTGAATTTCTATAATACATCTATAACCAATCTTCTTTCTCATATCTATGAGTTTATTTCCCAAATTGTTTTTCTCACTCTTCTCCCCATCTCTTTGTGTCTCTCAAAGCAGATGAAAGTAATTATCTATATGAAGTTTGATACCCTTCATGAGCATATTAAATGCTAAATCTGTGTGATGGCTCTGGATGAGAGCTCTACCTCTCTAATCAGGTATGTCCATTGTTTTGTTTCCGTTTTAACTGGTTTATGAATTTGAGAAGCTTAGATTTGCTATTTTCTTCCCAAGTTAATACAAAAAGATGGGCTTACAATTTTCTATAGGTTTACAAAAGATGCACTCCAAGTGTTTGACGAAATGTCTCATAGAAACTATGACCCAAGTTTACTACTCTCATCTCTTAACATGGTATCAATTTTTCTTTCCCGTTTCTATTGGCTTTCAAAACAATTTTGGTTGTTTTTAATTTATTTTAGTAGTTCTAAATTTTGGAGATATATAAAATGTTTTAAACTATTTTGGTTGTTTTTAATTTATTTTAGTAGTTAATGGTTTTCTTTGAAGGCTCTCTAAAAGCAAGATCCCTTTGGCACCAAATTTGGCCATCATGGGTATTATTCCAATAACCTGTGGGCGTCGATTGAAATCATGATGCAATCTGATAGTAGCCTACCTTTCTCAAGTGAAATTCTTCAAAATTTGTTGTTATGTTGAATGCTCCACAAAGGACATGGCAATTGAATTGTGGTTGGATACGTCTAAATACAAGGTTTGTGATATTACATTGGTGAACAACTCTTTCTGGATATTTTTTATAAATTTTTGATATATTTTTAGGATTTTACGTTTTTAAATTCCTTCTTATATGCACATGGTATTATGTATCTTGATCTATAGTGTAACACATACAAGCATATATTCAATTATTGAATTGGTAAATTATTTGAATTAGAATGGAAATTGTCTGAATACATTTCCATTTTTAGTTACTCATTGATTTAAGTTTTTATTTGCATTTTTACCATACAAAATATCTTGAGTTTATGAACATATTTAAATAAACTTTGCATCATTAACTGAAATTGTAAGAAGCTATGATTTCGATTTTCATATTCAAGTATGTGTGTACTCAAAATATAGTCTAATTGTTATGATTAAATGAAAATAAGAATCACCTTTTTTTCTACCAACCTAGATGACTATGCGACCCTTTGTCCCTTTAAGATTTCATTCTGATTCAAGTGAGATAGAACTGCTCCATTTATGGATAACCTGTTTCTCTTTAAACATAAATGTATCAATTCATTCATTATGCATTATTTATGATGTTTTTACAGTTGGATGTTTTGTAAATAGATGAATGTATCTCTATTTTCAATGCTTTATTCCACCATCTATTTACCATAATAACATCGAACAAAACCATCAAGAGACAAGTAATTGAAGCTAAACACCAATGTGGATTTCTTACAAATCAACAGATGCAAGAAACATGTAACATCACCCCTGATAACTCATGTCTCCTTTGTTATCATGTGACTATTTCACTTTAAGTTTTTAAAAATTTCTATTTTCATGATCAGGTTAATAAGCATAATGCTTTACTTGGGTCTATTTTTAAAGTAAAATACATATGATACAAAGAAATTACTTCTTTTCATTCATGTTAGCCTCTTATCTTAAAGAATTTAACACTAATATATTCTCCTGGCACTAATGTTCAGATCCGGAGTCTTCCTTGTATTACCTCTGTTAACCCTAGCTTCAATCTTTCACCTCTCAGTAAGAGGGAACACTACTTAGAGTTAAAACCTCACTTCAATTTTGCAAGGTTGGCAAGTGTTTATCATATTTCTACAAGAAGAGGAGCTGGTATTTTACAAGAATGATCTCATGGTTTATTGATTTTAACAGTGGAGTAACACATAACGAGATGATATCATTATGGTGCAAGGCCACCAAGGAGACGATGATTGATCAATGGTTATGAGAATGATGTGAGGGTATGAAGAGGTATGATCAGAAGAGGTAAAACTGTAATTTAAGTTAAATCCATTTACAGCCACCATACATATACATATACTCTCTTTATCTCCCTCTCTCTCCACCATTTTTTGTGTCGTGGAAATGGAAGGTTAATAAATATCTACATCAAATGAGGAAGCTAGAAGGAAAACATGTTTGTTCCTATTGTTTTGTGATGCGGGTTAAATATTGTTTATGTTTTACATGTTCTTTGGTTTTAATGATTCATTGACTTGTGATTCATGGATATGGGTGGTCAATGTTGTGCGGATGGCTCAATTTGAGTGTGTAAGTTGTATCTTAGGTCAATAAACCATCATCATATTCTTTATATACATGAGCTTCAACTTTAATTTTTTTTATTATCAATTATGCTTATTTAATATCATGAATTTACAACTTCAAGTTCAAATTCGTAAATTTTTTAATGTGGCTTTAGTGTGTCAGTGTCGAATATAGGGGAAAGAAATGTGATTGTCGAAAAAAAAAGAACCTATGTATGAATCTGAGGTGGTTTTAGAAGAACAGGTAGACAAGGAAAATGGTGGAATTAGTCCACAACAAGTGCTTTATTTTCAATGGAATTGTGACACGAGATAGGATTTAAGTTGTTCCATCCACTTTAAATGGTATTGTTCCACATGGAGTAATTTCTAATGGATACCATATACTTAGAACTAATTACTTTCCCATGTTTATGTTCATGTTCATGTTCATGATATATTCTTAAGTGGCATTTTACATAATTATATATGTTCTTGTTAAAGAAGGGTACAATAAGGAATATGGTAAATAAAGTTTTCATATTGTATAAAAGCAACCAAATTAGATTATTTAATATATTTTATATAACTTTCTACTATACAAATACTTTTATTCAAATAAGCCAAATAAGTATCGACCATATTTTGACGTTTTCAAATCAAAGATAATTGTTTTAAATAATTTATTTAAATTCGCTTAAACGATGAGATTAATATATTAAAGTATAAATACATATCCTAAATTAAAACTTTACCCTAATATATTTCTATTTTAGTTCAGTAAATATTTTATTGAAAATTACAATTGTTGCACTTGATAAATTAATAGAAAATGATCATCGCTAACACAAGAATAACATGTTTTTACTTTTGACCCACAATATCAACATACGTTTTTACTTAAAAAAATATTGTACTTTTTTAAACTAAAATGTATTTATTTATCTTTAATAATCGATTTCTCGCATGACCAACTTTATGTGGTATTATCCAGAGGGATATAACGTTCCAATATAAAAGTATTACTGAAGTCTGACGAACAATTCAACCATTGTGAAGCCTATACATCAAATATGATGTATAAAGATGTGTTGCACGATTAATAACGTATAATCAACCATTTCTTCATATACATTTGTAAAGAATCCCAACTTTTTAGTTTTAATTCTTATTGATTTCGCTTCTGCTAGCATTATTATTATTGATAACTGTTTAGATGTAATAAACTATTTGCACAAAAAACTAATCGATTTACAAACTAATTTCTAAAAGAAATTGATCACACCCGTCGTTTAGCGCGGGTAAACGGCTAGTGTGTGTGTGTGTGTGTGTATTATATGGTTATGTTCATGTGAGACGACCTAATTTTGTGAGACCGTGAGACGCATTTTTTTATTATTTTTATTTTTTTTATTTTTTTATTTTATTTTTATTTTTTTAATTTTTTTAGTTAATTCAAGTTCCGAAAATAATATTTAAAAAAAGAATTTTTGGATTTTTCCATTTATTTTGCATTTTAAAATTATTTTTTAAAATATGTACAGTGTAATAATCTATTAGAATATTTCACGTATTTTTAAAAAAAATGGAATTTATTTTTATTTTTTTTAGTTAATTCAAGTTCCGAAAATAATATTTAAAAAAAGAATTTTTAGATTTTTCCATTTATTCAGCATTTTAAAATTATTTTTTAGAATATGTCAGTGTAATATTCTATTAGAATATTTCACGTATTTTTAAAAAAAAAATAGAATTTTTTTTTATTTTTATTTTATTATTTTTTATTTTTTTAATTAATTCAGGTTCCGAAAATAATATTTAAAAAAAGAATTTTTGGATTTTTTCCATTTATTTTGTATTTTAAAATTATTTTTAGATTTGATCTCACGATGTCACAAAGTTAGAATGATCTCAAATGAACATGAACCTATATATATATATATAAGATAAGAGAAGTATCCAGATTTAACCAAAAAATTAAGTACATTAAGTATGATTTTAGCCCATTTTTCGGTCAAAATTAGGTAGACCATTTTTCGGTCAAAATTTAATAAATCTACGTTTGATTCTAGCCCAATTTTAAGAAAGGATAACAGGCCTCTTGGACTTGGAGTCTCGCTTCTCTCGACTCGTAGTCCAGTTGCGATCGTCTCTTCCATCGCGCTCTCTCTCTCTCTCACACAGCTTTCTCGTCGTCGATCTCTGTGACTCTTTCTGTCTGACTCTCGCTCTTGAACTCTTTGGTCTCCCCGCAGCATGCACTCATTGGATCACGCTTACCTCCACCCCTGTCAAGTAAGTTTAACCTAATTTTGCTTTTCTCTTTGTTGTTGACTATTACAATGTAAAATGGTCATGATAATAGCATATTATGTGCACTGATTTTCTTCGCAATTTTGGTAACATTATTATTTCTTATCCTACTCAACGATTTGCATACAAGACACACTCTGTTAATTACTGTATACTCTAATTCCCCTGTGTTTTCACTATTCGTTTTGTTTGTTTACTTGTTGCTGGATTTGTATATGTGTATCAGGCTCTCATTGTTAATTTTTGGTCTTTTATTTTGTCAGCTGATCGAACTTATCAGGTTTACAGGCCCTCAATGTTAATTGTTCAATTTGAATTTTGGCAATAACATGGAAAGATCAAATTCACTATGAGACCTTTTTCTGCAGTATAGTTTTTTCCATGTCTGCTTCAGTTTATCAATGATGTGGATTGCAATACAGCTAAATTAAACCCAACTACAGAGTACCTCAATAGAGAAGCCATGAAACCCACAAAACAGAAAAAACCACAACAATCAAAAGAAAAACAAACCCATCTCCAAAATCCACATGAACCTACAAATACCATAATCAAAGACCTCCTCTGGTTCTCCCTCATTATCACATTCTTCAAACTTCTCCTCATCCCAGCCTATCACAGCACTGATTTTGAAGTCCACCGTAACTGGCTAGCCCTCACCCACACCCTACCATTATCTCAATGGTACACAGACGAAACAAGTCCATGGACACTCGATTACCCTCCATTCTTTGCTTACTTTGAATATCTCCTTTCCCATTTCGCGTCCCTTGTGGACCCCACAATCACAAACCTCTACAACGGCCTAAACTACAAATCCCCTTCAGTCATCATCTTCCAAAGACTCACAGTAATCGCCTCTGATTCAATCTTAATCTATTCCATTTACAAATTAACCAAAACCTTGAACTCAAAGAAACGCTTCTTGATCTGGATTTCAGTCATTTCATCACCCGGGTTATTGATTGTTGACCATATCCATTTCCAATACAACGGGTTTCTTCTAGGGCTTTTAATGGCCTCTTTAGGTGCACTTCAAAATGGGCATGACTTAACTGGTGGACTCATTTTCGCGATTCTGCTATGTTTCAAACATTTATTTGCAGTCGCAGGGCCCGTTTATTTTGTGTATATTTTGCGACACTACTGTCGCGGAGGCTTTTTGAGGGGTTTAAGTAAGTTGATAACAATGGGAGTAGTAGTGATTGCGGTTTTTGTAACAGCTTATGGACCCTTTGCATATCATGGACAAATACAAGATGTTTTGAAACGTATGTTTCCTTTTGGTAGAGGATTATGCCATGCATATTGGGCTCCAAATTTTTGGGTGTTCTATATACTCTCAGATAAGCTTCTTGCTTTTGTGTTTACAAAATTAGGGTTTTATATCAAAACACCAACTGCTTCATTCACTGGTGGACTAGTTGGGGATTCTTCTCCTTTTGCTATATTACCTACAGTTACTCCTTCAGTAACATTTGGTGTTGTTCTTCTTGCTATTTTACCTTGTGTTGTTAAGATTTGGAGGAATCCTGACCCTAAAAAGATTGTTAGATGGGTTGCATACGCGTACACATGTGGGTTTTTGTTTGGGTGGCATGTTCATGAAAAGGCTTCTCTTCATTTTTTGATTCCACTTGCAGTTGTTGCAGTAGAAAGCATTCAGGATGCACGACATTACTTCATGTTATCTATAGGTATTCATGATTTTATTTGTTTATTAATTATTGAACGCCATTAATGTGACATA